TTTTAGTGATCAATGATGGCGTCCGAGAGTTTTGTAACAACTTTCTCTCTATTGATGCAAGTTAATTTCCATTTCAGTTTGTGGGTCCCACATGAAAATTTTTGGTACATTGTTGAATTATAAAAATGCTGCCTATTTCTGGAATTGAATTCATACCTTCAGTCTGTCTATGTGATCTGAATCTTTACTGTTTTCTTTGTTCATCAATATTTTAGAAATATTTAATTTATAATTTTATATTTTCTGCGCAATTGAATGATCTCGGGTATCTTTTGAAGGGTGACATGGCCAATCTCTTAAGTGTGTATATGTTTCTTGTTGGCATCTAGTGATTGTTCTTATCTTTCAAGAGGTGTTACCATTTGTTATTCTGATTTTTATTGAGATAAATGGATAGTTTCCGAATGGTTTCCTCTAGTACTAAGTCACCATTGATTAATACATGATTTTTTTATTAAGTTTTGTGTTTGCACACATATCACAGCGACATAACGTTTAACAAAGTATTTGAAATGGATGGCGAGTCTCGGTTCTATGGTAGCAAGTCTTCGTTGTAGAACAATTTTTTCTTTTCCATCTTAATTAGTATTTCATTGCATTCTCTGTTGCTTAACCTTTTCCAGGGTAATTTCATATCGGCGTTCTTGTCCAGCAGCATTTAGGCTTTATATGGAACTCCTTAAGCGGCATGCTTTTGCACTTAAAGAATATACAAATTTGCCTAATGATGACAAGTGAGTACTTAGTTTTTGTCAACACAGTTTTAATATCTAAACCCAATATACTTGGGCTCGCTAGCTCTCTCTCTCTCACATATGCTATTGCTGCGCTTTTTTATTCTCTGCTGTCTGCATACTTAGTTTTCTGTATCTTAAACTGTTCCCGTATTTTCCTGTATCTTATACTGTTCCTGTATGTTTGACTACTTTAAACATATTGGTTCAGGACTTCCTTTTGGTTCTTTTTGTTATTTCTGCTTACCATTAATATTGACCAAGATAAATTGATAATTAATTGATGTTCCTCTTCAACTATTGATATTATCTGTGGAATTTGATCTAAATTTGACTGCATTGTTGTATCATGTTGTCTTTGTGCAGGATCATGAATTCCTTAGATGCTATCATCCATTTCTCTCGGATATTTGGTGTGCGATCCAACAAAGCTGGTGCTCTTTTGGTCCAGTTTGTCTTTTCAATTATTTGGCAGTTAGTTGATACATTGCTAGATGATGATGGGTTGCTACATCTTACACCAGAGAAAAATTCTATATGGCATACCAAACCTCAAGAAATGGAAATAGATAGCCCTAATAATTTTGATGAGAAGAGGATTGAACATACAGAGAGATTACTGAATCTTAATACCATCATGTCTGTAGAGTTGATTGGGCAGTTTCTGCAAAATAAAGTAACTTCCAGGATTCTGTACTTGGCACGCCAAAACATGTCAGAACTTCAGTCCTTTTTATACGTTGTTTTTAAAGTTTGTGTTTTTGTTTTGTTTTTATCTTAGGGTGTGTTTGATTGCGAGCATGTAATATACATGGAAAGAAAATAAATACTAAGTAATTAAATTGTCTAGAAATTATTTGCATGGAAATTATCAATTAAATGTGTGTGATTAATTTAATTTTCAATCTAGAAAATATTATACAAGTCCATTTTAGTACTAGGTAGATGGGAGATAGAGGGGATAGATGAGAGAGAAAGAGAGAATGAATTACCTGGAATAGTCTCCCTACAGAAAATATTTTCCTTGTTTTCAAGAAAAATATGGTCCTGGACTAAAAGTAGGAAAATATTTTTCAT